AGAGAATGACTTTGGATGAATGAAACATTCATTAAAATCCATCTTTGTTCGAAATAGTTGCTGGGTTACAGTTGTAATAGTAACTGTTCCACTAGCTTCTACTGCCTTCGTTATCATAGTGAATGGTTCATTCCATGGAACAAATTTATTTGTCGGTGGATTTGAATCTGAAGCAAATGCAACTTTAAGAGTTGGATTGAAAGCAATGATATCATTTACAGATATAGATGTGCATTGTAAGGCGTCGCTACTGAACTTTACTTTAAGCTGAATGTTACCTGCAAATGCAGGAATAAATCTTAGCTTCTAATGGTAAAAACTTTCTAACAGGAATTCTTAAACGAAGCTTAAAATCAAATGATTTTCCTGCTGTAATTGGACCACTAACAATTTGTCCTGTTCTGCATGTTCCCGAATGACTCCATACATCTTCATGTCGAGTCTTTGAGAAAACATCTACTTTCTTTATTTGTTCGGTAGTTTGTGAGTTTGAAGTTATATATGCTTCTTCTCTTGCGTTGTCTTGAGAATATACGATACGACCATTTGCAAGGATTTGATATCCAGCAACTGCATAGAAAGCGTCATCGAAACCAATCCAAAATCCTGGTGGGTTTGTTTTATTGGAACCTGAACCAATTTCTTTATCTACAATAAATTGACCTTCCATTTTATACGTAATGAATGTATTGTAAAGGTCCAACATATTTTCACCAGGAGGTGAGAGATTGAATGTTACCCATGTGTTATCTTTAGCAGTTCCAGGTTGTGATGGAATCTTTGCGTCAGAATATTTTCTATTAGTGTCACCAATTTGAACTGCATTGTCTATGATATCGAAATATGAGCGAATCTGATGAATATGCTCTGCTGGAGTAAATTCGTTTAGCTGTTCGTTCTGCATGTATTTACTTCAGATAAAAATCTATTTACTTCATTATTCTCACTCTTCTTCTTGGAATTCGTGGTGGAAGTTGTTTCTTGACATTTTTAATGAACTGTACATTCTCTTTTGTCTCAACTTCTTTCACTGGTGGGTCAGGGTTCTTTGACTCGGTTTGCTTTTTCAATGAAATTCACGAACTTTGCAATAAGCTCTTGGTTCGTTATTGAAAGTACATCTGGCTTCTTTTCTTCTTGTTCTTTTGGTGGTTCAGTTTGAACAGAAGGTTTTATATGGGCTTCGTGGTCTTCACCCTTGCCATGCACCTTAATGTTGTCGCTTTCTGCATTCGCTAATGGAACCTTTCTTTTTCTTACGTATATTTTACCATCTTTACTCTGACTTACATAATAGAAAGGATGTTGTATTCCTCTTGCGTCATTTAATATAATAGACTCTCGTTCTGATTTTGACAAGCTCATTTTACATCGGTTAAAGTTTTAATTTTGTTTTTTATCTGCAGTCAAATGACTCAGACAAGCCCTACGGACAAGACCCAAGGGGTCATAGATGTTGAAGCATTGAAGAAAGAAATTCGTGAGCAAATTTTATCCGAACTGAAGGAACAAAAACAAGAACAAAAGCCAGAGAGACCAAAGAGAAAGTTAGTGAAAAACAACTTGCTGCATTAGCTGCTGGAAGACAAAAGAACCCAAGACTAGTGGCGAAAAAAGCTAGAGAAGAAGCTGAAGCAAAAGCTAAAGAAGCTGAAGTGAAGAAAGAGTAAATGGTTTATTTTTATTGGAACTAAATGTATAGACAAATACCTTTATCTGTTGCGTTCAGTAGTGAAAACCCTGACGTCAAAATAAAGGGGAACAGAGTAACGTTTAAGTTTCCAACAGACTGGATTGTGAACATAAATGAAGAGAAGTACATTGGCATAACATCTATGTATATAACACGTGCATTTAGGAAAGTTGACTTTATACTTCAAGTCGAGATAGAAAATGACGAACAGTCTTTAAGCGCCCAAAACATTCACATATACAAATACTTTAAAGACGATACAACATTGCAACAATGTATGATTTCATTTAATGAGATGTTCGAGAAAAAGTTCAACATTGAAGTACAAACTTTACAGCCTTTACGTGAGTTTCTTGCACAACTGAAAGAAGAAGGTAGTCAGCCACAACTTATAGACTTTCATTATGAATTTAATGAAAATGAAGATGGAACACATGACTGTCAGTTTGTTGTATTCTCACCATTCAATGAAGTCGCTAAAGAGAAAGAAAATCCATTACGTATAAGATTTCAAATCTCCGAACCAAGTGATGATTTTAAGAATGTTTTCAATTATGATGCAATGCTTCCGAGGAAAAATGAATTTTCAAAGATTGTAACACCTGGCGTTTGGGATAGAAAGCAAGCTATATTATATTCAAACTTAAGTAAGGGAGTTGAAAATGAGTTCATTGGTCATACAAGAACTTCACCACTTCCTAACCCTAAATACTATAAATTAACTGGCTTCAATCGTGAGTTTTGGATAGACATGTTCTCCACTCATGACCATAACTGCCCAGTGTTCTTACCTCCAGACCATAAGGACTGTCTCTATATTGAAGCACAACTCTTAAACTCTACCATCGCAGTATTGTAAAATCTACACTAGCTTTATTTTTATCACGAATGACCTCATTGCTGACAAAAATAAATGACCTCATTCATGACCTCATTCATGACCTCATTGCTGACCTCATTCATGACCTCATTCATGACCTCATTGCTGACCTCATTGCTGACAAAAATAAATGATCTCATTGCTGACAAAAATAAATGACCTCAGAACTTCAACTTACGAATAAAGCTTGTTTTAGTCGTTATTGAGAAGTTAAACTTCTCTTCAAAGCAAGGTTGACATGACTTACATAAGTCAAATCCAATCTCTTGACCATCATGAAGTGCTTTATATAACTGCATAACACTGAACTCAGAGTCTTTGTCAAATTTTCCTTGCGGAACCATTAAACCTTTATCTTCATCATAGAAACACTGAACAGAGTCAGGAAACATTTCATTCGCGGTTAAAGCAATAACATCTTGCTTCACGCCTTTCATTCTGCAGTGAAATGCAACTTCATTTAAATCGTTAGTGAGTAAGTCTATGTAGGTCTTCTTTCCACAAAATATTGACTTGTATGCTAAACTTTGTTTTCCAGGTGTTATTTCTGCAAAGTCGCTATGAAATTGACCAAGGTTTTTACCAATGAGAACTCTTCCATAACGTTTCTCAAACTCTTCAGCTAAACGAGGGATATCTTCATTGTAGAGATGCATACTGTCCGTATCGCTATAAAAGATGTCCATTCCTAAGTCTTCAGCAGTACAGAATACTTCACACATTATTCTCTTCGACATAGACAGAATGTTAACACCAAGTGGACAGAAGTTAAAGTGTCTGCAAATGCTTTTCGTTAGCTTGAAAATAGTTTTATCTGAACCATCCAAACCTTCGAACTTCACTATATGGTTGTAGTTTCTGATGGCATATCTTATAGCATCTTTGTCATTTACTATGGTTATTTTTGACTCAATAGGAGATAGAATAGTTTTGCCATAAATACTGTTCAGAATGAGCTTTATATTTTCTTGCAAAGGATTTCCTTCTTTCTTATACTTTAACCTTAACTCAAACAACTTCTTTACTTCATCTCTTATTCTCATATCTCGGTTTCCATCGTAATAGTATCCTTGCAACACTTCACATTTGACACCTTGATATTTTATGAGGTCTTGTAATGTTATATGGTCAACATACATTAAACAGCAAGTGTTTGAACTTCTGGGAACGTTAAGTTCTGGATTTAGTTCAGGGTCACAAACTATTAAAGGAAAGTGTCTGGGTATTCCAATCTCTGTTATCTTAATGAGAACAAAGAAGCCAGACATAAACTTTTCACCAATGGGTTCCTTTTGGTCGTCATCGAATAAATGTCTCATGAGATACTCTGTGCTTAACATTTCTTCCTTCAAACCTTTGGAATACCTTCTAAAGTATAAAGTCTTGCTATAGCTGATGGATATAATGAAACAGCGTCGAAGTCAGCAATGAGTTTCTTTTCGCTCTTTTGTTTCATGTTATCTGACAACATACATCTTCCACCTTGAATGCATCTCGAAATAAATTCTCTTGGTTTATTTGAGAGGTCATAAAGATTTCCATTCGGGAAGTACACTCTGTTCTCAAATAATTTGTTAGCAATTGAACAAATACTAACGTAGTCATAAACGTTTAAATCAAACTCTTTCAATAAGTCATTGCGGAACTTTACAAAACCTTCTCTTAAAATTCTTACATCTTGTTTGCAGTAAAACGTGCTATATTTTTCTAAGTCGAAGTGGTTCTCATCTATTCTGCAACCTTTGATGGAATCTATGTTCTTCATGAATGTATCTGCATCCTGGATAAACTTACATGCTTCAGAAATGACACCAGTTCTGTTGTCATTTGCTAACAAAACACTGCTGTAGTAGTTGTATGGAAATACTTCTTTCGGTCCTGTTTGTAAGTTAAACATAGCAGGAAATAGTTTAAGCTTCTTATTTATAACACTGTAAGAGTCTTTTATAATAATTGCCCGTCCTTTATATAAACCAGTTATTTGCATTGTTCGTGAACCTTTAATGATGGGAGTTCCTTTCACTTCTGTCATGTGTCTTAAGATAAAGTTTATATCATAACTGAGGTTATGGAAATATATTAAACTCTTGTCAGGAAGTCGTTCCAAAAATTCTGTTGCACAGTTCTGACCCCATATGCTTTCACTCACTGAACCATCTTCACTGTCATAACAGATGTTAAAAGCTTTATGAAAGCCGTCTGTGCTACACTCAAAGTCAGCAAAGAAAACGTGCTCAGGAATGAACTTACATTTAGCTTTATTTACTTCTTTTGACTCTGCTTTCTTCTTCAGTTGTACACAATACTTTGGAGCATATGTCAAATCTTTAAATGGTGCAAGGTTCTGTTTATATAAGTCAGTCGTATATGTGAAAAGTTCTCCATAAGAAATAGGTTCGAAATATTTGCACTCCCACAATGTTTTCATAACATCCCATAGCGGTGTAGTTCTATCCATGCGAACTACATATTTATCTTCTCTCTTTGTATAAATCTTCATCTGTTTCTCAATGTTCATTCCACCACACTCCTTCAAGATTTCTATATAGTTGCGAATGAAATATGTTGTCATTGGTAATCTTTCATTTAGCATGTAGTGGTCTTCAACAAGAAGTAAGTCAATAGTTCGAACAGTTTCACATTCTTTTGGTATGTATCTCTTTATTTCATTATGTCTTGAGTCATTGAAGTAACCAATGGTAACATTAAATGCTATACCTGTTGCGTCAGAAATTTCTTGTACTTTACTTTGAGGAAAGTCTCTAACACGAATGACTTCTCTCATGTGGTCAATAGTTTCTTCATTTACTCCAGCCTGAATGCAAGCATAAACGAAACAATTGTCTTCTGTCATAAGTGCTGCAGTTCTTTTGTTCAGTTCATTGAAGATTTGGTAGCGTTCAAGATTTATAGGTAATGTGCAAAGATACTTCCAGAACTGACCGCTTCTCTTCTTATAAAACTTCTTTTCACCATTATCTTTCCAAAAGCTTTCTATAAGTGCTGGGTTTCCTGTTTGCTTAAGAGCTTCCAAAATGGCTTTCTGGTCATTTGTCAGTGTGCTTTCATCTCTATATGGTCTCTTTTTTGGTTTGCCTTTCTTTACATCTGACATCGTTAAGCCTTCATATTCTGTTAAATCATACATCTTTATTTCGGTAAGATTCTTTATGTTTGTCAAGAAGAAGTCATAGTGCATTTCAACAATACCTGCAGCATTTGCTTCTATCTCTGATATAAAGTTCTCCTTCAAGAGCTGATGTAGTAATGTTCCAATATTATTGAGGTTTAACGTAGAACATTCATACTTTCCACCAAGTTTATAACATACCATCCATCTTTGTTGGGAGTTTATTTTAATCTTCTCTAAGAGTCTCATGAAAACCTTACCGAAATGTTTGTGTAAATAGTCTCTGTTTGGTTCATCTAAAGCTTCGATGTTAAAGTCAATGAGTCTATTGCCTGACTTCACATTTCTCTTCCTATTCTCTTCATCTTTCTTTAACCATCTCTCACCTTCTTTTGGTTTGTCGTCAATGGAACGAATGACATCGTTAGCTTTGCGAACTTGTTCTATAGCACTTTTAAACATCTCTCTTCTCTGTTGTTTCAGTGTGTCGTCTCTCTTTCGTGTTTCTCCAACGTTTGCATTTGTTATGTCAAACATCTCTTGACGAACATCATGCGAAAGAGCTTTACGAGTATGACCAACGTTTGCATTTGTTATGTCAAACATCTCTTGACGAACATCATGCGAAAGAGCTTTACGAGTATGACCAACGTTTGCATTTGTTATGTCAAACATTTCTCTTCTTACTTCATGAGGTACTGAACGTCTATGATATAAGTCAATAGCAACATCATTTAAAGGAAATGCTCTTGCATGGACTTCGTCCTCGCCGCGTTGCGGCTTTATGAACTCATGAATTCTATCATAAGTTATTTCACCATTGTAGTCTTTAATGAAGTCAGCGAGTGCTTTTTTGTTTGTCGCGTAATGTTTTGCAACATCTATGTTAGCTTCTGTAAGAAGTTGTTTTATTTCCGAGTGTTCTAACTTAGACAACTTCCGATACATCTTTAGTAGGAAATAAAAAAATTTCTTAGAAAAAAATTAGCTTAGATTTTTTAAGGCTAGTTTTAAAATATTTCGAACTTTTTATTATAATGAAACACATGCAAGATTGCAAGTTCTTTTCATACAATGCTCTCGCTACTGCCATCAAGAATGAGTTCAATGGTGCTTCAAATGTTAATGTTATCTTTAACAAGAAGTTTGTGAAAGAATCTAAGTTTGGTCAGTATGTCAGACCATTAGCTATTGTCATTGACCGCAAACGTTATACTTCACAAGAATTAGCAGTAGTTTTGAAACAAAAGGGTTTCTTCGTGAATGTCAAAGATACACACTATACTATTATAAAGAACTCCAACATTGACTTCTTCAGTATTGCTATGAATCTTTCCGAACAGAAAGAATATAAGAAGGGTGAAACAAATGTGAAATATTATCCTTCATCTCTGAAGACAATAACGAACAAAGATGTTATACAAAAATTCTTACCAAAGGTTAAAGAAGCTTCTATTGACATTGACGAAGGAAGTGAAATGGTTGAAGAAATTGACCCTGAAGCTATTTAAGCAAAAATATATTTTTGTTCATTCTTCCTCTTTGAAGTTATCGAAATATTCTGTTATCTTTTCTTTCAGTAGCGGTAAGTCTTCTTTGAATGTAAGTATTGTGCAACCGTTGATGTCATAGTGTGTTTGAGGAAGAGTATTTTTGACAATTTCCTTTATTTGCTCATTCGGTGTCATTGAAATCGGTAAGTTTTCACGATAGAACCAGTTTCTGTCAGATTTATATATTTTAGCGAGGTCATAAAAGCTCTTGTTGTTTCTTCTCACTAAATGCAACATAACCATATCTCTGTCTTCTTCTTTCTCCATCTCTTCAGCGTAAATCATATACTTATAGCTTTTTTCCTTTCCTTTTGGTACTGAACGTGGTATTCTTTTCTGTATGCTTTTGTCTTTGGATTCAATGACTTCATCTTTTGCTTGAAGTTTCTTTTCCATCTCTTCACGTTCTGCTTTATATAGTTCATCTAACATCATGAAAATATAACAAGCATAACGAGGTGAAGCCCACATTGCTACAGCATTTACTAAAAGTCTATGAACATAATAACCTTTCAAACCAGGAGCCAAATTCTTGCGATTTTCATACGGAATCTCTTCCCCCGGTTTTCCGAGGGAAGCAATCATATGAGGAAATTCTTCTAAAAGTTCTTTTGTCTGTTGGTTTTCAAACCAATGATATGCTTGCTTTGTAGAACGAAGAGCATTCATTATACTTTGCATTTGGTACATGTCATCTTTGACCGAACGAATGAGTCTCAATTGTTTGTTATACTGTATGTATTCGTATTCTTCATTTATGGCTTCATGAACGATAGCAGTTGTTGTGTTCTCTAATGTTGTCATTACTGTCTTTATATTCCGGATAAAAAAATAAATAAAAATAAAACTAACTTTATTTTTCTGTGTTAAAGAAATGTTAAAAATTCATGGTTACATATGTGAATATCATATAACCTCTTGAAAACGTTTAAACGAACTTGAACTTTCTTTCCTTCAGTATCCGTCAAAGTAACATATGCAATTCCTGATTTTAGGAAACAAACATGCATTTTTCTATAGTTAACTCCTGTATAATAATAGAACGAATCTTCCTTTTCGGAATAATAGTAGAACTCTAAGTCATGCTTTCCATAAGAGTTTATTTCAATTGCTTCATCGTCTAGTTCATCGAAATATTCACAAGATAATTTACCATAACTACTTCTGTTCTTATGATTTTCTGAGCGACTAACCCAACGTAAATTTTGAAGTCTATTGTCGTCTCTTTGATGGTTTATATGGTCCACACACGGTAAATTGTTCGGATTGGAAATAAAATGAGTAGCTATGAGAACATGTTTTTGGTACTTTTTGAGGTTTAATGTTACACAAATATAACCTGTTCCTCTGTTATATTCATGTATAATTCTCTTGGTTTCTTTCTTCCTTATTTCAAAAGGCTCAGAACAGTGAATTTCATACTCTTCATCTTGTAAACATTCTTTCCATACATCTTGACCAACAAGTTCAGCGTACATCTGGCTTTACATACAAAATAAAAAATAAATAAAAATAAAACTAACGTTATTTTTAAAATTTGTGAAAACTCAACGGTTTGACACGTGCCCTATGTCATTTTACTCAGAATTTTGTGTTGAATTCGGCAAAAATAAATTTAGGGTAGATGGTTAGATCTAACCTCATTTCTACCCTATTTTCTACCCTCATTATTTATAACCGTTTTACATGGTAAACGTTATGAATTCGCGAAATTTTAAACAATTTCGTAGCTTCTATTTCTTCACGAAGGATATCAAAAATTTTAACTATGCCGAAGGTTTCTTTATACTTATTCTTGACATCAGATAATAGGAAATCGTCAACTGTTGGATAGTTTTTGTTCAGAAATGCTAACATATCCATTTTATCTTCTGCTGGTTTCTCTTCTTCTTTCTTTAAGTCAGCATAGTCGTTTCTCATACGTTCTATCTCTTTGACGGAGTAGTTATATTTCCTTATTGCTGCTTTACATTTTGAACATTGTGGGTTCATTTTTGCGTTATACATTGAAATTTGACCTGCTAGAACAACTAAGGCGTCAATGGTTTTCTTTAACTCAAAAGCTGCTGGTTTTATTTGTCCGTTCCATACTTTACCTCTTCTATCTTTATCTCTTATCTGCCATACACATTCAGCAACTAACGAAACAAAGTTGTCGTATGTCTTAAACTCCTCCGATTTATATATGTCAGAGATGTTCTTATATATCATGTCGCAATCTTTGTCCATAACTTTATGATTGCAATGAAATCCTAGAAACTCATAATTTACTTTACGTATGAACTTCTTTATTTCTACTGAGTCGGTTGTTTTTACTTCTATTTCATCGAATTCAGGAATAGTGAGCTTTTGTTGTTGGATTTCAGGCAATTTGGGTAAATGGTCAATAATGTCCTGCATTTCATAAAGATATTGTTCATTTTGTTCATCTTTCGCACAACAGTCCAAAGTACTTGTTAAAAGTTCCTGCTTTATCTTCTGGATTGTTGTTTCGAAAGTATATGAAGAAGGAATGAAGCTTTTCATCTCAACTAACATAGATGTTGGATTCATAACTAAAGAGTTTGGTGAAGTTGTTGTTTGAAGTGTTGTAGAACCTATTGTTGAAATCATATCTTTACATACAAGATAAAAAAATAAATAAAAATAAAACTAACTTTATTTTTTTCTTTCATAAGGAAATTCATGAAAATTCACGAGGGTAGAAATGAGGGTAGAAATGAGGGTAGAAATGAGGTTAGATCTAACCATCTACCCTAAACATTATTTTTGCCGAATTCAACAAAAATAAATGGTTCATTTACTCACAATATTTTTGTACAAAACGACCCCAAACTTTTAACTTCTTTTCTGCAGCTTCTAATGCTATCTTAGCGAGTTCATATTCTCTAAATTCTCTCTTTAAATCTTCTTGTTCCCATTGGTCTAGTTCGTATGAAGAATCTCTATAACCATAATATATCTCACGTTCATGTTCTAATTGTTTTTCGCACATTTTTCTAACTTCTTGTTCGAACAAAGGTTTAGCATTCTCTACTGTATCTTCGAGTTCTTCTTCATCTAATTTCTCATGAACTTTCTTGTCTATGGAGTCCATAATATCTTTGACATAAAATGCATACTTTACAGAGCACCATTCAGCAACAAAATGAACGAGGTTAGGATGTATGTAAATACCTTTGAATTCATTCATGACACCCTTTGTAAGCTCATAAAATGCTTGTTTTGAGGTCGAGCCACTTTTGGCTCCACCGTATTCGTTCATCCAAAACTCAATAATTTCCTGCATTTTAGTACTATTGAGAAATCTGTTTAAATGGTTTAACCTTCCCGCTTCTCTTGCCATCTTTGTTGCATTAATGTAACCATCCTTGTCTCTACGTAAGACTTCGATACCATTATAAGTGCCTTTTGTGAATGTTTCACCATTAGATTTGTTCGTGAATGTTTTTGCTTCGACTGACATTTCTGTTCTTACCTACAAGATAAAAAAATAAATAAAAATAAAACTAACTTTATTTTTTCTGTCTTAAGGAAATTCATGAAAATTCACGGGGGTGAAAAAACAGGTGAGAAAACAGGTGAGATCTCACCTCTTCACCTAAAATATATTTTTGTCTGATTTACATCTAATAAAAAAGTTTAGATGAATTTTCTTATTCTTTCTGGCATATTTTTGTCTTTCCAATACTCCCGCTCTAATGGTCCCAGATGTGTTGGCTTCGACTCTCTCAAGTTCTTAGATGGTATAACATCTTCAACGCCTCCTTCATATCTTACTTTATAAGTGTCATCGTTTATGTTGTAGCCAAGTATTTCAATAACCACTCCTCGCTTTGCTTCGTCAATGGTTTCAGCAAGTTTGCCATTACTACTTTCAACTAATTTATGACGAGGGTAAAATGCTATGGAGTCGTCAGCAGCTTTTATAAGATATCCATTACCTTGTGTAGAGTCTACGATATAATAATTTCGACTTAACCTTAAACGTTTCTTTGTCAATGGTTTGTCGTCAAGAACTACACGAACTTTTGTACCAGGAATGAGTGTAAATTGTTTTGAATTTCTGATATTTTGTGTTTGACTTCGTTTCTTTTGTATATACTTTTCTTCTTGTTGTTGTGTCATTGAATTTGGTGTATGTCCTGTTGTAGAATGTGTTGAGGAATTATATACTTCGAGAAAGTGTTTCATTGTTTCTTCGGTAAAGTCTCGCTCTTGATTTAAATCTCTGAGCGTTCTTATGAAGCGGTTAATGATGCCGAGTATGTTATGGTTATGGTCTTCAGTGGTGTAGTGAGTTATGTTATGCTTAATGAGAAATTCTGTGATTTCATTGCTGAGGTATGCACTGTCTTGGTCTGATGTTAAAGTACTTGGGTTATGTTCTGCTACAAACTTTTGTAAAACTCTTAACACTTCACGAGTTCCTTTATTTCTCATTATATACGCAAAAGCTTTGCGAGTGTTAACATTTATGAAGATGAGGAATGGTTTATGTCCTCCTTTTCTGCTTTGAATGAGAGTGTCAAATTGGTATGCGTCGGGTGTTGGAGTAAATTGGTAAAAAGTAGTCGTAAGGATTTATTTTTGTTTGATGTACAACATTTTTGTTAAAGAACCTTTTCACTTCAGCTCTGTTAGTAAATCCCGAACTCTTTGCAGCTTCATTGAATTTCTTAAAAGACCTCCATGGATGTTGTTCGAATACTTCTTTCAAGCTCATTTATGTAAAGTTAAAGATTTTATTCTAGGCTCAAGCGCGTTCATTGAACGCGGTACCATGCGAATACAGTCACAAATGGTGGCATATAATCTGCACCCGAGCCTGTTGGATTTGTTGTGAAAGTGTGTGAATGATTTCCTGTGGTTCCACAGAAAATACCTGTGCTTGAATCTACTGGGTCACTTGAAATATCATATCTATGCATTCCCTGTCTATCCGAACCTGCTGCAAGATTTGTATAACCTCTTTTTGTTATTGAATGTGAATGATTACCTGTTGTGTTTGTAGTTCCTGTATGAGTGTGCGGTGGAAGGTTTGCTTCTTTAATTTTCTTCGAACCTCCTGTTTGCTTTGAATATCTAGCACAGTATAAGAATTTATCTACAATCTGCTTCCACGTACCAAAACCTAAAACTGTTTCTGGATTTGTTGAGTTCATTGACGTATAAATAGAGCCTATAGGATATAATGTTTGAAGTATTTCTGTCTTTAATGTTTGAAGCTCTGTTTTGTCTGCTTTCTTATCATATAAATCTTGAGCAGTGAATTTAACTTTATTTTCATCATCCATGACATAAACATTTCTACATCTAATGTATTTCATCGTTGTTATGTTTTCATCCGATGTTAAACCTTGTGGAAAGTTAGGAGGTTTACAATATAATGCATCCCCATCAGTTCCTTCAACCGTTCCTTCAATACTTTCTATACCAACAGTTGTGAAGAATTCATGTGTATGGTTCTTATCTGCCTTCTTATCTAACATTGCTGGTAGTTCATGTGTTTCAAAGTTTCTGACATGACCTTCAATGTTCATACATTTGTTATTTAAGGAGTTTAGTGTATCTTTTACGCTTGTACTTGGATTCTCTAAAGGTGCACTTGAACCAAGGGTATAGTTCAATATTATGTCGTCTGCTCTAACAGTAGTGAAGGATTCATGTGTATGGTTCTTGTCGGCTTTACTGTCTAATGTAGCTTGAAGTTCATTTATATCGGAGATGTTGTGTTTATGAGATTTCAAAACTTTGTTCATTGCTTCGAGTTCAACTTTGTCAGCTTTACTTTTAATAGCATCTTCAAAAGTTATTTTTGTCTTAACTCTCAATGTAAATCTTGGTTCAACTAATACACCGTTAACAGAGAAAGTAGAGGCATAAATTTCATCGTTATAACCAAATGCTTCTGGTGCTTTACCTGTGTCATACTGTACAGTACAGCGTATATCATAACCTTTAGCACGAATGAATTTATATCTTCTTTCATTAACATCTTCAGTGCTTATTTGTTCATCCTGTGTTAAATATCCATGGTAGTCCGTTATAATCTGTTCGTCTGAACTTATATAATGAACATGGTTTTTATCTGCTTTTTCGGCTAATTTCTCATTAACATCATTCACTTCTAATTCAACTCTTCCGCCAGAACTCTTATTATCATTAATCTTTTTCATTAATTCGGTAATTACGTCATAAAGACTATATTCTGTTTTCGGTTTTGTAAATAATGAGTCAAAATTTCTTTTCATCATTACATCGCTGACATTAATGATATCACCAATTCCTTTTTCATTTATTCTCTTCATTAATTCTGCAATAATGACGAATATATAATCTGTTAATTTATTCTCTTCATCGAGGGTTATAGAATGATTTGAAATCGAATCATTAACTCCTCTAAATAAATCAATAACTTCAGGATACACGTTTTTAATGTCTCGAATAACCCGACCAGTATCCTGTTGTTCATGTTCTTCGTTCCCGTCGTTACGCGGTTTTATATCTCTAACCATCATCAACGCAGCCATAACCGGAGGGTTTGTTGCTATCTGTTCGAAAATCTGACCGTTATGTATGGTATATCTAAATAATTTCTTTGTGTTTGTTAAAACATTTGAAACAAGTCTTTTAAAACCATCTACAAAATTTCCTGTTTCACCTAATGTTCTTGCAGCATTTACAAGCTCACCCATTCCCGCTTTTGACCCCAAAAACGTCCATATTGCATTTATTTCACTCTGTATAGTTGTCCATTCAGCAAAATTAATACCCGCATTCGCTAAGCTGAAAATGAAATTCAGTGGATCGAACTTAATTCCACCTTCTTTTTCAATTTCAACGAACTCACTAACATGAGATTTTAAGTATTCTTTCGTTAAAATTGTTTTCCCCGATGTTATGTCATTAACGAAACTATCACCGTCAAAAGTTAACGAATTCAATTTCGTCGTTGATGCTTTTATTTCATACACCGCTTTATTGATAGTTTTTGGCTCACCTTCTTTAGAAGCATATGAAACATTAATGAATGAATTATATGTATTCGTGAATGAGTTAAAATCAATGATTTTCATTAATGACGCCTTTAATGATTCATTAACTGTTGAATCCCTTAAAGTAATTAATGAACTGTCATTTATGAAAGGTACACTGCAAACCGTCGAGTTTGGATCAAATGCTGTAGTTGGTGCAGGAATATTAATGATATAAGTCATTAAATCATTAAGTGACGTAAATAATGTTGTCGTTTTTGATTTAATTTCTTTAGCATCTGTTATATATGGTAATTTTTATTTCTGTAGTTTCTGAATTAAAGATATTCGCTAAAATGTTTTGTAAACTGTTTTGAACAGCTGTGTAAACCGTTGAATCCGGAACTCTTACGATTTCACCGTCCTTAATAAAAGGCATTGCACATGGTGTAGTGCTTGGGTCAAATCTTTCGGGATTATAATTCAACATATATTCTAACGCTTCATATACAGACTTATATACTGTTGTGTCGTTCTTCATGACAACTTCACCATTTACAATGAATGGCATTGTACATGGAGTTAGAATAGGGTCAAACTTTTCATAGTCCTTCCATGTTATGTATTTCTCGGTATTTCCATCACTGATAACAATATATTTGTCAGTAAGTGTGAGAGAGTATTGACCAAAATATAAACGTTTAGCTCTGTCAGCTTCATACGCATATGCAGCTATACTCATATTTTAATGAGAATAAAATGTTGTTCTATTTGCAAAGTACAGACCCAAACGAATACGGGACAGTAAAGCTACAAACAAACTTAGGTCTACAGAATGAGGCGCTTGCATTCAGAATGGTTGACTTCAATACTATCGCTTCATTCGTTATAACAGATGAAACAGATTTCATGGAGATTGAAATAGATGGAAAGAAGCACGAAATAAGATTTCACAATAATGTAGAATATAAGATGGAAACATTAGCTGGAGTGTTAAATGCTCTCATAAATACTACAATAAACAAGGATAACGAAGAAAACTTAATGAATGTTAAACTTATTGCAGGAGTTTTGAAGTTCAGTTATGTGAAGGAGTTTAAGATACCACGAATGAGTCATAGAGTACAACTTCTTTTGGGAGCATACCATATGACATTTCCTTTGAAAAGTGTTGACAAAACGATTGAGATGAAATCTGTTCCATACGTATGTTATGGCAATTGTTTGTACGTTGAGTCAAAAATAGCTAATGTCACAGGTATTTCAGGAGTTAATAGTAAAGGTTCAGTAGAATATAAATCCTTCTGTTATGCAGTCAATTCAATGTTCATTCCAAACGTTCCTGTCATAGCAACTCATTTAGGTAAATGGGTTCGCATTAGTCCTCATAATTTGAAAGACATGCAATTCAGACTTGTTGACTTTCAAGGAGAGCCTGTAGAACTGAAGGCACCAGTGCGAATGACTGTTGAAGTTGACTTTTTAGAAAATATTAAATGCAACAGCTTACAAGAAAACTCAGAGCTAAAAATATAAAGTATGAATGTTATGTATTAGGGTATGAACTTTGGTTGTTGCTGTTTGATGAAACAAATGAGTTAGTTATGTCAGTCAAGAGAACAGAAAAATATTGTGTTAGTGAAAACTGCACCAAGTCAATAAGATTAGGTTTGCATTATGAAGATGAGTTCGATACTGTTGAAGAAGTTTTGGATAGATACTATAAGTTGCTAACTTGAAATTTTTTTTTGACTGACGGCGCAAAGCGCCAAGATGGGCTCAAAGAGCCCTCCTGACTGCTTTAATTTACTAAAACATATTTCAAACAAAGTTTATATTCTGTTGAAAGTTTTGTATACTCGTTCGAATATTTATACTTAAACTCAACTCCTGTAGTTCCTGGTATTTCAATGATGCGGATGTTACCTATTTTCATGAATATTGGAGTTTGACCACAGCATTCGATTTCAGGGTCGAGATAGTCAATGACACATTGTTTTCCTGTTATTCGTGATATAACATTTTCAAGGTCCTCCTTTGTTAGAATTATTTGGTTCTTACTTATAAGATTTATCAAAAGCTTCTTATCGTCTTTGAGTAAAATTGTTTGGTATAACTGAAGAAGGTAATGGTCTACGTTATCTGAAGGATTTGTTTGAACATTTGTGTAAGGGTTGTCGTTGGCTTCTCTTGAAAGAATTTGGTCCAATGGTGGATACTCTAACTTAACATCTGATGTAGCGTTAGCGTTTGAAGCTGTGTTTAAATTCACGGATTTCAGCTCTGGTTCTTTTTCTTTCAAACACTCTGAACTATAGTTCTTTATGACAATATTGTTTGTCGTTCGTGAGTCAACATTTGATGTTGGTTCAATTGGAACATTAACGGCACCAGCTAAGATGGATTTGCTTCTCATTTCATATAGAATAAAAACCTTTTATATGTATGAAATGAACAATATACTCGACAAGGGTTTGAATGTAAAGCTAACGAATGAAAATATTGTTGAATTCACTGAGACAGGAGCTGTGTATAAAGATGTAGAACTACTGAACAAAAGAGCAAAGGGAAGAAGCAGGAATATGAACAAAGGGTGGAAACCTATAAAAATTTATGTCAATGATGGCTCAGGAGGTTCAAACATAAAGTATGCAGAAAGTTATAGAGTTTATGCTCTCAAAGGTGAAAAGCCTTCATTTAAGAACAGCTATTCTAACGCATATCCTCAAAAGCTAACGGATGGGGAAGTGGATGATATGAATGACAGCAAAAATATTAACAGAAATGGCGACAGAGATGCATGGAATTTGTTTACCATCAGTCAATTAAAGCATAAGATTTAAAACAATGTTGGTCGTTCCCATGGAATATTTTTGACTTTAATGGTATTAGTCATGATATGAATCTCAAGGTATGAACGAGGAGAGATGAGAGACTTATATGCTTCCCAAATTTCTTCAAAAGGTAATGTTATACCTGACTGTTTCCAAATGAGTTCAATATCATAGCGTGAGAAACCTTGAAAGATAACGAAGTCAGTTATGAGACGTTTTATGTTTAAAGCAAGGAAACGCCATGTTTGCATAAGTATTGCTACAGTTAAATGGTAATGTCTGACTTTAGTAATGATGTTAGCTAATGGTGAGTCTGGTTTTGACACTAAACCTTTTCCGGCGAAGTCGTCACAAACGAGCAGAGTATTTGAAGGATACTTTTTGAAGGGGTATTTTGAAAGTTTTGATAGAATGTAGTTTGTAAGTCGTTTCATATCGTAAACTCCTGAGTACTGACGTAAGTGGTGTTTGTCAATAATTCTTTCCATCTCTTCTGAAGTCTTTTGCATTCCTGACTGTATGAACTCTACAATAGCATAATATTTTCTCTTACGTCGAATGTAACGTTGAAGAAATTCAATGAGTTCGCTATCTGGAACTTTAACGACGGAGGCTTGAACTTTTGACATGAATGTTTTCGCTGTTGAATCCATAGAGTCTGAAGTTGCTGATATAATGATTTGGTCATAGTAAGAGTCGTTTCCTAAACGCTCTGTTATGAGTATATGACGAATGAGGTTAAATGTCTTACCTGAACCCATCTTTCCACAATAGAAATACACACCATTTGAACAGAACTCATAGTCCTTACTGAAAGGAAGAATAAGAGAAGAGTTAAGTTTGTCTGTAGTTTCATTCATGTCTTCATCTACGTCATGTATTAAATGCTTCATTTAATCTCCATTAAAAACAAGTCAGAAATATTCAGAACATAGCACCGAGTCTAACTGACAAGAGTATAAAGATATACTATGAACACGTTATGATGAAACCAACCAAAATTCAAGAAAGTCAGTATACTTATGAATATCCAAGACATTGGGTAGAGTATGTAGGAGGTGAGAAAGCTATTGAAATAAGACAAGTTAGAAGTATTCCAGCAGGAAGAACAATATTATTGAAGAACTTTAATGTTTTGAGATATAATGATGAAACAAAGAAGCAAGATAGTTTTCCTGTTGCTGTGTATGTGAACTTAGATACAGGAGATGACATGAAAGTTTTTAACACAAAGCTTCAAACGGTAGTGAGAGAACAACTGACTGCGGAAGGGCATCCATTACCTTCAGAAGTTAGCATAGCATATAATTTTGAAACAAATGCAATAGATTTTAAAATCGCCTCTGCAAAGAAGTCAGGTTTTACATTTAATGAAGCAGATGTATATTCGAATGAAAACTTCAAAGCTATTGCATGGTTAGATAATGACGATTGCTTTAAGAAAATCTTTAAATTCAATGACTCAAAGATGTCAATAGATGACCTTCGTGGAATGTTACCATCGACGTTTACAGTAGAAGGTTCAGCAGGATTGCTTACAAAATTGTCAATTGGTGGCATTTGGTCTCGTGAGAACATTGTTATAAAATCCAGTATAAGTGAATTTGCTGAAGAATCTATATTATGTCTTTCAAACTACATGTATTCGCCGCCGAAGCATTATAGTATAACAAACTTTGTCAGTAAGTTTAACATAAGACTTGTTGAACCTTCTTCAATGAAAGATGTTGTGCTACCTAAAGATGGAAAGGATGGACTCATTATTGAGATGATTTTAATAGCATATTAAATGAGCTTGTTCTTGAAGGTCATTCATGATGAAATAACCGTTGTAGAAGATGTTAGCAATTGTTCAGACATTTTGAAGCGAATAGATGAGATAAGAAAGAAGTTAGATAGACCGCAAAGCGGTGAGGGCGAAGCCCGTGAGAACGCTTATGTTTCATTGACTTTCTCCAGTAACGAGAACTTTTATGAGATAATATTGAAGAGAGATGATTTTAATATGGTGTAAATGGTAGCTTGGGCAGCTTTAGGCGCAATGGGAACAAAAGCATTAGCATTTGGAGCAAAAGCACTTGGAGCTTATGACGCAGTAAATAAAATGAGTGGAGGAAGGGTTTCAAAGACATTAGACGCAAATAAAGGAAAGATTGGAGGCTGGGTTGCAAAGAAGTTAAGATTAAATAAAATAGGGCTCATAAATAAAGCATCCAATTTGGTTGCGACTGAGTCAGAAAATGCTTTAGGAAAGGATGATGAGTTTGCAAAACATGCAAAAGACTTTAATGACCAGATGAAAGGTGAAACAATGCATTTAAATAGAGTCGATGGAACTAAAGAAAATGTTTCTTCTCCACAACTTCCACCAGCAGTTCTTCCGTATGGTCCCTATGGAATGTATGGAAACCCTTACGAAAGACCATTTGACCCATTGACTGGTGGAAGTAATTGGTATCATTACAGACGAAGAAGAAAGACAGTCAAGTTGGAGACGGACGTAAAGAAAGCAACTAAAAAGAAACCAAGGAAGAGAGTTATAAAGTAATGAATTCAAGTGGGTAGAAATGAGGTTAGATATCGGGTTAGATCTAACCTTCTACCCTAAATTTATTTTTCACCTCTGACAACGTTTATTTTTTCATTAGTGAGTTCGTTAGTGAAAACGTTAGTGTGGGTGAAAAACCGGGTGAAAAAAGAGGTGAGATTTCACCACTTCACCTAAATTTATTTTTGTGCTATGTTTTCATACGTGTGAAGGTAGTGATATCATTTATTTTAAGTTTATTTTATTTTTACTGAAAATTTTTATTTGGATGTAAATGACAGAACAAAAGCAACTCATTCGAATTCCACAGTATAACAAACATACATTTAAACATTTATTCTTCCTTCCTGAGCATAACATGTTCTTTCAAATACATCCGAGACCAGTTGACTTTTCATTGACTGTGTATAAAGATTGTCATGGTAGTTTTATAAAAACTTATGATGATGAAGGTAAGTTACCAAGACTATGCATTTCAAAACTTGAGAAACTTTATGACTTCAAGTATGACTACAATAGGGTTAACACTGATGATGAAGATATTGAGGAAAATTTATGAGAACGTTTATTTTTTCATTAGTGAGTTCGTTAGTGGGTGAAGAGGTTGGCGGCTTTGTAAATATTTAATGTTAAATTAGTGTTGTCGTTTGTGTTGTAAAATATACGTTAGCGGTTTCGTAAAGTGTCAAATTCACAAGTATTGGGTAAGGTGGAACGCAGTGCCACCATACCCAAGATATGTTTACTAACTGCAAATTTCAAGGCATTGAAAGAGATTGCCTTAAAATTCATGTCTATTGCTGCAACCGAAGCTGATGTGGAAAGAATGATTTCAATTGTGCGGAACCTGCGTAATAGGTTTAATCAAAACGCACGTGAAGAGCTAATAAAGTGTAGAATCCTATTGAAGCTTTTCATGACAAATGAAATCCTGAAAAAGATATTTCCAGATCTGACTGATCTTTAACTTGCCGTAGCTCCTTGATGCTGTAGCTCCATGCTGCAGCTTGACATACTGTAGCCCCTTGATGCTGCTTGATTGTAGATGTTGGCCTTGAATGATGCCGCTTGACCTGCCGTAGCTCCTTGCTGCTGCTTGATCGTAGATGTTGCCCTTGAATGCTGCCGCTTGATTGTAGATGTTGCCCTTGAATGCTGCCGCTTGACCGTAGATGTTGGCTGTGAATGTTATCGCTTCAACCGCTAGCTCCTAACTGCCTCCAAACAGCCGTTTTGCTATGACCTCAATCACTTTTATTTATTATTTTAAATATTATTTAATTTTATTATTTGAATAGGCCAACTTATATTTGAGAAGCTCAATTTGAGACCACTTAATACATTGAAATATCATAAATATTGAAATATTAAAAAGTGTATTTCAAAATATTGAAATTATAAAAATTTATAATACTGAAATTGAGACAAATTAATAAATTCAATGTGTTTTTTTTGAAATAACTCTCAAATATCATTTTTTTGTTTATTTAATGATGAATAAATATGATTGCTTTAGTCAATCATAAAAACTAATTTAAGTTTAAAATAATGAAAGGATAATTTGATCGTTTTTTAAAATACAATTATTTTTGATGATTTGCAAGAATCTTTGAAAAGAATATAATATAGGTTCTATTTTTGTAAAATTTATCCAAATCATGTATTACATAAATTACGATTAAAACGATGAAAGAACCAAAAAGTGTGTTTTGTGTTTTGTTGTTGCGTGTTGGATGCGGGATCCTGTTATTTCCGAAATCGACAAAAAATTTGGAAATTTAATTTCCGAAATCGAAATTATATTAATGTTTTTAATATTCTTATATCAAAAGGATTAAAGTTCATTAAGAGAAAAACAATTCTTCTTCTTCAATCTATTGGCGCATTTATTTCTACACGCCAATAAGGAAGGGAAAATTATAAGACACCATGGTGTCTTCAAAACGCTAATTTTTGATATTTTTAACAACCCTAATACTAGCTGTAACCAAAAAATTAGAGTTGATTCTCTAATTTCAATATTAAAAGTTCATTTATAAGTAGATTATCTAAGAATTTTAGTTTTGATTTATCATTATTTGACGGAAATAGTGCAATTAGATCATGATATGCTTATACAAACCCTTTAATTTAAAAGATATAATTTGCAGTCAGTGTTTTGTTAGAAACAATTTATATTGTACATGAACTCCATGAAATATTAACAAAAAATCACACAGACTTACTTAGAATTTGAGATAATTAAAAAAAATTTATAAAATTTAAAAAACTCTATATTTTTATATAAATAAATAAATTCTATATAGCCTGCTCTGTTTGGCAGCCTCCATCACTACGAGTTGGAGTGCACTGAATTTCGATATCGTGTTTTTCTTCAGGAAGAACTGCAACAGATGTACTTAGTTTCTGAAGAGGAGCTGGAAGCTTTGGCTGAAGTAATGGCCCGATAATAGAAGAAAATCTCTGAGAAATTGGAGATTTTTCAATCGCATTCAAAAATTTTCCAATTTGAGGGGGGACAAGTGGGGCCATGGCCGCAAACGCCTGTGAAGTAATATCAAACAATTCTATGTCAAATCTGTTATTATAACATAAATCAACCAAAGTATTGAAAAACTTGAAATTAATATCGGAGTTCATATGGCAGACATAAGGAGCAAACAATTTTACAAACATTTTGCCAGATCCAGGTAAATTTAGTAAATTTTGTGGTAAAACATCTTTCGAAAGTGATTTAATCGCTGATCTACCGAATGATAGTAAGTATGCTTCAAGAAATTCCGGTGATAAATTGTTAGATTCGTATTGATTTTGAATTGCCTGTAAAAACTCTTCGCATTGATGAAAAGCAGATGGATTGTGTCTTGTTAGCTTGGCCAGGAGGTTTTGGGCTTCGTACATTGCTGATAATTCTGAAACTTCTTTACCTTTATTCAAAATAAAAGGAAATAGTGCATCTATGTACTTACTTGCTGGCATTTCGATGTAAGAGAGTTCGCTACATATGAGAATTAGTCCTCTACGACGAATATAATTTGTTTCATTTGAAATGTCATTTAAATATTTTTCTAATAGTTGTTCTGGGTTATCACATGTTTGAGAAATAGCTATAGCAATGGATTTTTGAATAGAAATGTCTGGATTTGCGAATAAATGTGAATAATTTTCGAATTTTATTCCATCAACTGTTAATAATTTAATAATTTGTACAGCATGCAATGGGCATGATGGTATTTTAAGCGTTTCACATAATAATTGGCAATCTTCCTTCTTAGTTTCTGACATTTTATTAATATAATGAGCTGCAGAGAAACAGGCGCCTAAAAACTTATTGCAATTCTGTTTAATAATGTTAATAAGTGAATTTCCGACATTTGATAAATCTTGAGTTGTTGCAACAGTGATAATTTTAGAAAGAATCCAAAATAACTCGGCTGATGGATTAATTGTTAATTTAACAATAAAATCCTTGATTTCACTCTGAGTTACTGATGCTTTAGTGTCATACTCTGTTATAAAATCGTCATTTTGGTATACAAATTCAGCCTGCATTTCTCAAAATTTTATTGTAAACTAGACACAAAAAACAAGAATTCATAATCACACTTTGGTAAGACAAAATAGCTTATATTTTGATATGTTTTTGATTTTTCTTAGTAAAAAGCTATGATTTCATTCCAATGGAGATAAAAATTTTAAAATTATCTTATTATTCTTAACAAATAATCACAAACATCTAACAATAAGTAAACACACTAAAATATTACATAGTTTAACTTTCAATCAAAGTTTTTTCTGGCGATTTCTTATTGATGAAAGAATTGTGATGTATTATTATAGATATTTGTGTATATAGAATAAATTACAGCTTTACACAATAAGATACTTATTATATGAAAACAATCGCGATTTTCGAGTCCAAATACTAAATGTCATATATAAACAAATGTGTCATATTGTTTGGAGTCTTGCTATCCTATTTAAAAAGAGTTTGATCAATCAGAGCATAATCTGAAATCAATAAGATTATGTCAGGTATGAATTGAATTGAAATTAATCGTTCATATTATGATCAGAGAAATTGAATACTTTACATGTAAGATTTTTTACAAAATTGAATAATGGATCAAGAAGAAACACGTCCAGAATTCAAAGTTGTTATTATGGGTGACTCATCTGTCGGAAAAACAAGTATTGTTCAACGTTTTAACCAAGAAACATTCGATTATAGCATGGATACAACAATTGGCGCTTCATTTTTGACAAAAATAGTTGAAACAGATTTAGGACAAGTCAACTTAAATGTTTGGGATACAGCAGGCCAGGAGAGGTACCGAAGTTTAATTCCTACATATGCAAGAGGCGCTCATGCAGCGATTATTTGTTATGATACTACAATTATGGTTACTTTCGAGGCAGTTCCTAGCTGGATAGAGGAACTCCATAAATTCTGTACAGAAGAAGTTCCTATTTACATTGTTGGAAACAAATCGGATCTGAAGTCAGTAGTTTCTGAAGAACAGGCACATTCACTTGCAGATCAATACCATGCAAAGTACGCCCTTACATCAGCTAAAACTGGAGTAGGAATTACGGACTTATTCAAAATCATTGCAACAGATTTAGCTAAAACTAAAGTAGACTTCAAGAATGATACCGTTGATCTTCAAGCATCAAAAGATAATTCTAAGAAGAAATGTTGTTAAGTATTCCATCTTTGTTACTCAGATTTCTTAATTTTAGTTTATTTGATTATTAATAAACATAATACTATCACGTTTTATACTAATAAATGTTTGCATTTTGCTCAACTCCTTCTTTTTAGTAATAATTTTTTATGATTTTCATTTTTTGAAGCAAAATTTCTGTTTGCTAACAGATAATTTCTTATATATCAAAATTCTCATTTGAAAATGCTCTTGTTTCAATGAAATACTCTTTTGAATAAGATTTGATCGTGATAAGGTGTCGATTACGGATAGGAATTCTATAAAAACTATTAATCATTCTATATAGATCGTGACCACCTCAAAATTTATATAAACAAGTGATAGTTCCCATCATTTTTCGAAACAAAAAAAATGGCGGATGAAAAATTATCTTCTGTTGTCAAGAATATCACCGAAGGTGATATGCCAAATGACCTCGATAGAGCTGCATTAATGGTAATTAATGACTATAACAATACGAAATGGGATCTTGGCACTGGTCCAGACAATGATGGATATCATATGTCAAAAATTTTCGGCGAATACGGATTTAATGTATTCTATATAAGAAACGCGAAGAAGGAGCGCTTCCTTGAACTGTTAGATCACTTCTTCGAGAATACGAAAACACATTTGATTGTTTATTACGTTGGACATGGAACCAACATAAAAGATATCGATGGTGATGAAGATGATGGCTTTGATGAGGCATTTTTCTTTGTTAATGGAGCAGTAGTTGATGACGTTTTGATTAAACATCTTTGCGAAAAGAAGAATCCATCTTCTGTTCTGACTCTTGTTACAGATGCATGTCATAGTGGCTCAATATGGGATATCCAAGGCGGAAATACAAAAGGAAGAACTTTACCTAAAAACGTTATTTCGATATCAGCTGCTAGTGACAAGCAAACAGCAAAACAAACAGTTGTTGAGAAAGTTGAACAAGGTATGTTCTCATACAACTTAAGGAAACTTCTTAGAACAGTTCCAAACGCAAAACCAGCCGAAGTTAAGAAAGGACTCAAGACTGTTCTCGAAAAATTCTGCCAAACATGCAATATAGCACTTACATCACGAGAATTACTTGATTTGCCAATTATGAAACCGTAAATTTTCTTTGTAATTTTATTTTTCTAATGAACAACCCATTTTTCCCTTTAAAATACTTACCAAATGTATATATCTTATGAATATTCAATGATATTTTCATTGATAAAGATATTTCATATTTCATGCTGAATAAAGGTTATATCTATCAAAAGATATCATGACATTGACCATATAATGCTATATCTTAGATTATATTTTCATTTTTATTAATGATATGGATATTTACTTTATTCTCACAAGTTATATTTGGCGCTGAAGTGAACAAATTGATCCTAGGCAACAAGTATGATTATATATCATTAATAATCTTCGGAATTCCTATAGGAATTGGTGTTTCTACGCTTATGTTTTTCGGATGCGGAATTTTTTTCGGATTCACAAAGTTCAATTTACTGATTCATACAGGAATCCTATGCTTCATTTCATATAGCTTAATTACACGTCGATTAATCAAGAAATTAATAAAATTCAGTTTAATAGAGCGACAAAAATTAATAATAATAGCGATTTCAGTTCTTATCTCGTCAATAATATCGTTCAAAATATACAGACCAGCCAAAAATTCAATCCATCCTTTAACTCTGCCGTATTTAGTAAATGAAATTTCATTAATTCAGTCATTTTACAATGGAGTAAATAGCGGGTTTGTAAATATTTTCAAGATAAGACATCCATTTTGTTACCAGTGCATTGCTAGAACGAATTGGCTCACTGCATGTCACTCAGCTATCATGTTTTGTGGTGGATGCAATTTACACTTCGCAATGATTTGTCCTACAGTCTTGTTTTTGACTTCAATTTCGTATATTTTTATTTTTACTTGTTTTGAAGTTACTAACAATATATATTATTCAGTTTCGGGAGTATTAATACTATTCTTTCTAGGTGGACTCGGCATAGTTCGTTACGCTGAAAAAGATGTTGTTGCAGCTCCAAATTCAGATTTTATTTCAACAATTGGTCCTCAAACTGTTGAATGGTGTCATCCTATATATCAATACTTATTTGGTATGAGATCCTCACAATTATCATTGAATTTGGCTGTTCTTTTGTTTTATTTACTTTATCATTCCCAAAAAACTTCATCAAGGCAACATGAATACTGTCTTATAGGCGAAATATTAGGATTATTGATTCCTACACAGTTCCAGACTTTTGTTTCATGCTTAATTTATTTTATATTTTTCATTTTGCAAACAGAACGTTTTGATAAGAAGAAAACATCACTTATGGCTATTCTTTTCTGTTTGTCATTCGCAGCAACGTCATCTCTTCCATTTTTGCAGTTTATTATTCCAAGAGAGACAAATATACCTTTAATCAAATTTGGAGAGATAAATAACAAATACAAAACAGAAGGGATATCATTTCCTTTACTAAGAATGTGGTTTGAAAGATTTGGAATTGGAATTTTTATTCCATTCGGAATAATATTTGTTGATGGATATCTAAGAGCGTCATTGATATCATCATTTATTACATTTTTAATTGGTAACTATATGACGTTCACAATTTTAACACAAGATAATATTAATTATTTTTATCCGATTTGTGCTCAACAGATTGCAATAACAGTAATTTATTCATTTGTTTATCTTATTAGACATGAAAAAGATGAAGAAAAACAAGGATATTATATTGGATTTTCAATTTTAATAATTTTCTTTTTAACAATATCAGCTTTATATGGTTTTCGCAAACAATATGGACATTCAAGGTCATTTTGTGATAAGCAATCAATTACTGCAGCGAAATGGATAAATAAAAACATTCCTAAAAAAGCTGTTTTTGCTGCAGCTCCTGATGAACTTTCTCTTGTTCTTGTTTTGTCTGGAAGAGTGTTGTATACAAGTACTCCAAGTTTAATTGACTCTGCTTCATTTAATTGTACAAACAGAAGAGAAGAAATGGTAGATTTGATCAAAGATCCAACAAATAAAACAATTGTTCCAAAAATAGAATACGTATTTCATACCATTGTTGATAACTACAAAATAGATGATGACGTAGGGAAATGGACTGTTGCATTCCATAATCAGGCTTATACAATATATAAGAGAAACTTAGAATATAAGAAGCCAAAGAAACGCTGATTTTATTTTGTTTATTTTGTTTATAAAGATTATGTTTTTTTATTTGATTTTATAAAGATATTTTGTGACTATATGTTATGAAATAAGGGTTTCGTTTTGCGAAAAAAACGTACAATACGCAATTTCGCTAAAAAACATTTAGCTAGCAATTTCGACCTTTGACTCCACTCAAGACGTCACTTTTTTAATTTTGCGGTATCATATTTTTGGAAAATCTTTATGAATATTATATAAAAAGTCTCTTTAATATCTATATTTCATATTTTTATCGATTTTTAAAGTTTTTGCGAAAAGTATTCAATTATTTTTGCTATTTGTTCGGGTAAATGTCAGATTTGCGACATTTTCTGATATGATATTCAGATTCTACGTTGATAATAATGCATATAGAACCCTCTTGCTATTGTGTCAAAATTGCGAAACCGATAGCAAAAATATCTCGCAATATCAAAATTGAGATATTGAGTGAATTATGCATTATAGAGATTAAAAATTTGATTTGTGAAAACATCTCATCAGTTTCTAGCTAATTCAAAAATCTTTACTATCTTATTCGATTAAAATGAAAAGGGAATAGTTTCATTATGCTTTAAATGACAGCCTTATAATATAATCATAGTTTTCGCTCAATATGCAGCATTTTTTTTTCGAAATCTATGGTCAATGTCCTAAATACTGATTGCTTTGCATTCATATCTCTTACATTTTCTATACCCACATCACTATTCATTGCTATTCCTATCTTTTTCATTTTTGTTTGTTTCTCATAATTTCTCAAAAAACATGACAACTTGATATTTGTAAATATCATACTTTATAACGTAAATAAGAACTTGACCTATTAAGAAAAGCAGTAATGAAAAGAAAATCTGAAATTCATAAAAATTACAAGTTTCTGATGACAATTAGCTTAATTAAACCAGGTACAAGATTATATAATTGTATTTTCTATCCAATTATCCATATAATATCTTATCCAGAAAAAATAACTTGATCAATACCAAATGATTTTTTAACTAGTAAATAAAGTATTTTCTTTACACACACATTGTATATCATAGTTTTTTTTTTTGGTTTCGCAAAACATCCAAAAACAAATATGCTATAAAAGTGACAATTTTAGCAAAACGAAACCCTTATATGAAATAGTCTTTAATTGGTCTCTGATTATGTAAATAATTAATAAAGAGAATAATATTATTCGGAAGAAGGTTATGAGATTTTATGGACAGATATATTATAATTATTTGATAATGAATTGTTCTTTGAGGCTTTGCAGCATGAACTGACCTTTGGAGAGACCAGATTATTTTATCCTATTAATGACTTCTATTAAGAGTGAGAACTAGAATATCATTGCTTATTAGAATAAATACTTATCACATAGAAAGGAGCTCTCTTTTTTACAGATTTCCATATCAGCAGTTCTATTCTAGTAGGATCAATTTGAGATGGAGGAAATCCTCTATGTTATTCAATAATATGGCATTATCGAGAAGAAATTTCATATAAAACTTTGATGTGTGCGATTATTTTACATTGAAAAATAAATTCTATTTTAATCAAAATATTTACTTGTGAGAGATTACACATACCTTGTTGTCTTTGTTATCGATCTTTCAATAGTTTACATTTGACAAAAAATTGTCAAATATAAATGGTCGCATATAGTTTCCTTGATGCTCTTAGATCTTTATCATGGAACAACATCCAAACTATGATAAAGAACTTCAATCCAACTGAAGCATATAATTTGCTGATGAAAATACCATATACTCCAATTTTACTTTACATCCAGACAACATGGTGCTGCTTTTCATTAAGATTTAGCAGAAGAACCAAAAATTACGGCTTCTTTAATTCAGTTTTCATGGTGATTCTTTCATTTATTTTGACATTTGGAAGCAGATCTGTTGTTGCTTATTTGTTACACCGTCCATTCCCATTCTTAGAGAACCGTGATCAGTTAACACCATTCTTTATTGTCGCTGGTTTAATGTTTTTCCTTAAATTTGACATTGTTTATCGTCTTTCCTTCGTTGTTTATCTTTTCCTTATTCCTATACAGTGCTTCAACCAAATTAAGCTCTTGACAATCTGCACACGCCATCGTTTCCCATTACCTTTGACTATTGTACTTGTAAATATGGAAGTCATTATAATGGTACTTTTATCATTAGTTCGTTACACACAAAGACTCTTCTACGCTTCCGAATTTACTTTGATTCTTAATTCCGCTTTAATTTACGCACAAAGTTATTATCTCTTCAAGCGATACTCCAATGCGAAGAAGACACTTATGATGTTGGCTATTATGGGTTTAACTTCTTATTTCGCCGCTGTCATTGATTTGTTCAAGTCAATGAAAGAATTATCAACTGATTACGACCAAATTTTGAAGCAACAGCAGGAATTACTTCAACAACAGAAGGAATTACTTAAACAGAAGAAGGCAACGCCAAAGGTTACAGAAGAACCAATTCAATACGAATAAAGATTTTAATTGTTAGCAAAGCTATCTAAAATGTTTTTATTTTTACTAATAAATGATTATATCAAAACAGATCCTTATAAATAAACTCATCGAACTTAATTTCTTTAGCAAAAATAGAAATAATTTCTAAATTTCATGATAATTATATGTTTTATAGGCGTTTCAATTAGTACACACCAACATAGTTATACAGGACAATTTCCTTTCAAAAAATTAAAAACCGCTCCGATCCGAATATTTATATCAAAGATACAACAGAGCATGATTGACATTATTTTTTCAGTACGTCAAGAAGAATCATTTATTGAATTCTTTGGTAATGCTACTTACGTCACCTGGTCCATACTCAGTTGGAAATGCGAATTCTTTCTTCATTAGAAGATGCATATATGTCGACCTGCACCCACAAGAAGGAATTCGATTCCTCGAAACAACCGAAAATATGTGTATTTTCATTAATGATACTACTTTCCGATCTTGTTTCACAGATTATCAAAGTCAGAGCGGTGGCTCATTTTATTGGCGAGATCAAGGTATAGTTGCATTCAATGTTACAATTGTTATGACACATCTTGGTGTTCGAAAACAGGCCAAGAATACGGGACCACTGTTTCATCGAACGGCATAAACCATTGTAATTTTACCACTTTATTCAACTTGGGCATTGACAGAGAATTATATGAATATTCAGTCGGTCAATCAAAGGGGAGTATTTTTATCAATAACATCAACCAAACTGATTCCAGATGTAACAATCGTGTTGGTTTAACCATGGGTAACTATATAGTTTGTAATCAAAGATTTTCTAATTTTAGAAATTTATTAAATGGATTGTGTGATTGTATATTTTTACAATTTATTACTGAAAAACTTTCATATATAGAAAACATTAACTTTATTAACAATACATCAATACAAAGTATTTACCGTAATAGCAAAATAGGCCTGACCACTTATGATAAATGCTTTTTTAAAGATAATACATGCAAATACATCATATCTTGTTATTCATCAGTATTGAAAATAGCTAATATGTATATTGAAAATTTATCACAAATTAGTGGGATTGTATCATATTCCAATACCAAATCTGCTGAAGATATTCCAATTATTATTATTCTTTTGGATGAAGATGTTTGTCTAAGAACAAATTATCCCTTAGAAAGTAATAATTATAAAATATTTTCATTTGGTTTTAATTTTCTCAATTTCTATAAGGTCGCCAAAAAAAGTGCGGAAACTAAAAACCGCAGTTTGAGTACTTTCTGAGGGTCTGTTTGTCAGAAAGTATACATTTGTAAACTTTCTGACACTCAAATTTTTTTGGTCCTTTCAAAGTTTTTGACAATGTCAAAAAGTATACATCGGGGCTCTCAATTTTCCTCTCAAACGGCGGTTTTTTAAAAACGCTCATTTTTTCATCGACCTTATCGCCATTCTTAATTAAATTATCCAGCAATATTGAAAAGAATTTTCTTTTCTAGTATGAACATTTTTTTTCAATGTAAGTAATATATACCCATATTATGACGGAATTCAGCAAATTTTAATCTACCAAAACATTATAGTTTATTTTTATTGTTTAATTCTTTCGTCTAATTTAAGAATTGCGATGCAATCATCAGCATGTGCCATCACAGCGTATTTGAAAGGAGTTATTCCATCTTCTGTTTTGCAATTAGGTTCAATATTTTTGTTTGAAAGCAAGATTTTCATTGCTTCTGTTCTGTTATATCTTGCAGCTAAGTGGAGTGGAGTTAAAAGTTCAAATGCTTTTGCATTAACATCGACAGATTTCTGTTGCAACAAATAATTCATTGCTTCAATATGTCCATTCTCTGATGCATAATGAAGAGGTGTCTTTTCTTCGATATCTTTTGCAGCTGGATCTGCACCGTTTTCAATCAAAAGTCTCATAATCGCATCTTTTCCTGTTTGTGCTGCACAAAATAGAGGTGTCTTTCCTTTACTTGTAACGCTATTAACAGCTTCTCTATACATTTCAATCAACTTAACACAAATGTTGAAATATCCATTGTTTGCTGCAAAATGCAAAGATGTCCATCCTTCAACTGATGATGTCTTAACATCAATATTCGGAAGAGATAGAAGGTACTCAGCAACATCAGGTAGTTGTGCTTGGAGTGCGAAATGAAGAGGAGTTTCATTTCCAATATTTAATGCATTGATATCTGCATTTTTGGAAACTAACAATTTTGCAGCTTCAAGATGACTGTATTCTGCTGCATAATGTAGTGAAGTCCATCCTTCACTATTCTTGATATTGACCTTAATATTCGGTTGAGAAAGTAACAAATTAATAATCGGAATAAATCCAAGTTCGCATGCAGTATGTAATGGTGCTTTTTTACCTTTCTTTGTCAAAACATTGATGTCAACTTTCTTTTCAATCAATGTCTTGACGACATCTTCGTAATTACGTTCAACTGCAACATGAATAGGAGCAACACCAAGTGTATTCCTTGCATCTGATTTGACATTATCAAACTTAGTCATTGTAATTGCTGTTGAAGTATGTTTATTTTCAAGTGCCAATATCATTGCAGTATTTCCAAGTCTATTTCCAATGTTTGCATCTGTTCTTTTGTCAGAAAGAAGTGTTTCAATTATCTCTGTATCTCCATTTGTAGCTGCAATATGTATTGCTGCCTGCATTCTCTTATCTTTTGCATTGACATCAAGTTTGTCATTTTGTAAAAGAACTTTCAAAGTTGAAATTTGACTTCTAGAAACAGATTCGATAAGTGGTGTTGATTCATTCTTATCTTTAGCATTGACATTAGCATTCGGGAACATTAGCAATGCTTGAAGAATACAGATTGATCCATGTCCACTTGCTTGATGTATTGGCGTCATAAATGTTTTATCTTTTGCATTTGCATCAACAGTTTTATCTTTTTTAGCAAATGAAAGAAAAACATCAACATTATCAGCAAATATTGAACTTACTAATGGTGTTGAGAATCTTGGATGCATGTTATTAAGTGGTATCTTGATGACATTTACTAAATAATCATAAACTTCTTTCTGATGATTGAGAATTGCAATTTGAAGACAACCTTTGAAATCTGCTTTCATTTCATTTAATTTCTTAAGGAATTCTAGTTGTCCACCTGCTGCAGCGAATTGAGCAACTGTGTAACCATCAGGGTTAGAGCCATTGATATCTGTTTTGGCAACAAGATCGTTGAAAATAGCAGAAGAGCCACAAAAAGCACTCAACATTAATGGTGTTGGATGATTTTCTAAAAATGGAGATGGTTCGAAAATTGAACATTCCAATGATTCATTCAAATTTTCAATATATGAAAGAGCACCTACTGCATCATTATGGACAATTGCTTCTGTTGACATGTCCATGAAACCTTGGTCACGATACTTTTTTAGTAATGAGAAAGAATCTTTGCTTAAAAGAGAAAATGATTCATGTAACTTCTGGAAATGAAAGTCATACAAGTTGTTTTTATGAATAAACTCTGCTGCTTTTGTAAATTCGGTATTCAATTCTGAATTTGTTGAAATTTCTGGTGCAAATGTGTAATAAAGAAGAGCGGCATGAGGATAATAATCATCGGCAAGCTTTACGTAATGCTGTAAATAAGGAAAGGTGTCTTGTGCTTGTAAAATTCCTTCATCAATGAGTCTTGCGATAAGTATAAAGTTGCCTCTATTAGATGAAAATGTCACATATACTGAATCAAAAGCAAATGCTCTTTGTAATAAGAGTTCTTTGAAATTTTGGATTTGTATTAGAGATTTAATGAGTGATATTAAAGATGTTCTTGATTTTTGTACGTTCTTAAATGTATTTAAAACTATTGAAACGATCATCTGTATTCCATTCGGAAGATTTAAAATTTGATGATTCTTAATTTTATCAAAAACTGATTGAACATTCGATTGATCAATAAGCAAAACACTATTATAAACTTCATCAATTGTTTCAATAAAGTTTATTGACTCTGGGCTTGGATATGCGTTCTTTTTCGCCATTATGCACGTTTAAAAATTCATATCTTGATGAAATTGAAATATTATTTAACTTTTGAACAGAAAAACTTTTTATATTTTATAGTCTATGTGAATTATGAATTTAAATCATGAATTTGAAGAAAATTTGTAAAGAAATTTTATTGAATTTTATTTTTATGAATAAATATATGTACAAAATGTTCGATTAGTCTTGTAAAGTAGAGAGTAAATAAAAATTAAAAAAATTAAAAAATTATTTTTTAAAATTTACAGATAGAGATCATAGCTTCTTTCGTAAGAGACAAAGGATAGAATAATCAATGATATTATTGGGACAAATACGAAGATTGGTGATGTTAAAGCTCCAGCCAAACCAGCAGTTAAAATTCCGAGGTTAAAAGCCATAAACAAGCCAACTCCGATGGAGACAAGAATGTAAATAGTTGCAATAATTCTGAAAAGTATTCCTCTGATGATTAATTCGCCAGCTGCCATCGAAATTAAAGTCAAAATGACTGCGTAATAAACGGCGATGAATATTGCACCGTATATATCAAAGTGGTAAACACCAGATACAACATAACCCCAACAGAAGACGGCTCCGAAATGTCCACCGACAGACATGAAGAAAAGTGGAAGGAAAGCAGGGCAGACTATTAGGAATGCCAGATATAACTTGATTTTTAAGGGAATCCTTCTTAATCTGTACATTAAAGGAATAATTCCAAAAATTGTGTTGAGAACAACAGCGGAGAATGAAATAGAACCATTATGGCCACATATATACTCTTCGTAGAGCTTTGTAGAGATTGAAATAGGGATTGGAAGTAAGAAAATAATATTTGCAATTAATCCAAGGAAAAGAAGAGCAATTCCGGTTGATATCAGGTTTGGATATCCATAAATCTTCTCATTTCCTATTTTTACATCTTGGTCATCGCTAAGGAAATAGAAAACTGAATCATTTACGTCTCCAGAGAGTTCAAGATAGGAATCTTCTGAATCAGGAACTTCGTACTGGCTCTCGTAAAGCCAAATACCATCAGTAACTTGAGGACCTCTTATCAATCGATCTTGGAAATTTGTTTGAATGTTAAGTTCATCATTTGTAAAGGCCAAAAGACGGACTTTTGTCCTCTGTATGTAATTCGAGTTCTTATGGAGCTGATCCTTTGGAGGAGGAGAAATAATCAAAGTTTTCGGAGGATTTTCAAGGTCAATGTTATGATATGTCAGTAAATTATTATCGTTGACTATGAGGCCAAAACATTTATGGGACATTAAATCGGGAGCAACGATTTCAAGTGTAGAATGATGGTGTTTAATTGTTGGTTTCGAAGGATGGAGGTGGCCAGTTAAAACTAGAGAGAAATTGCCTTCAGTAATAAGTTGCCGGAATGACTTTTTCGATGATGATTTATAACGATCACTCCAAAGGTGGACTGGAAAATGAGTAATGAAGATTCTGTGCGTAGTATTAAATGGTTTCTTGATTTCCGCTTCAATGGCATCGAGAAGTTTCTTGCCAGCATTAATCCAAAAACCAAGTTTTGCATGAGCCATTGGATATTCGTAAGGATTGGCATAGACGTATGTGATTCCATTCATTACAAATGTTCCTGCCCAAAAGTTCTGGAGTTCAGGTGTATTTGTAAGATTAAAATAGTAAGAATGATTAATGAAATAGTGATTCGAATTTTTATAGCTGTAAACGCCATATTGATCATGATTACCTGATATATCTACCATTTTCATATCACCAAAGTCAAAGTTTTTGATGATTTTTTCATAATCTTCAAAATCAGGTAGAAATTGATTTCCAAATGCTAAAACACTACTTTCTAAATGGCCAAAATTCGTTGTAATATCACCTGTGAAGACAACGCTTGTTGCTCCAAGTTTCTTTGATAGATTTAGCGATTTTTCGAAATTAATAGCACGTTCTGGCGTAAAATGATCTATGTGAACGTCTGATATATGCGATATTATTGTAGGTAATTCAGAAAAGTTGTATTTTGTATCTGAAGATTTGAAGCTTCCAACAGTGTCCATTGGTTTATGGAATATTCCAATAAGTAAAAAGACGAAAAGTAAGGCAATCCAAATAAATCTATTGAGTAAAAGACAACAAAGCCTTGTTTTCATTATTTTCTTTATATAAATACGCCTGTAAATATTTTGCAGATTCATTTTTACGGGCTCATTATACATATTTAGTTTGGATGGAAAGAAAATAACTTTTTTTATGAAGGAAGTTCATCTTTAGTGTCACCCCCCGTCTTTTTTTACTTTTGCAATGAGTCAAAAGACTCATTGTCGAAGTCAAATTAATTGGAGTCGAGAAGTATTTCCATAGCGATTCCAATCAAGATAGTGTTTGGAACCTTTATTATGAAGGAATTAGTCCTCCTTCCGAAGTTTTTACCGGTGAAGTTGAAAAAGTCACAGCAACAGCAAACAAATGCTTTGCATACATCTGCAAGTTTATCAATCTTCAAGATAGAGCAGTTAACTTCTCAAATACAGTTGATTACTCGATTTTACTTTGCGAAAATGTTTTTTCAGAAGGTCCAGGTACAATATATATTCAAAGTTATAGTAAAAATAACATTATTATTGATAAATTCTGTTCATTTGAAAGTCAAACTCCATCAGTTGGCCAATTTACTCGTTTCCAAGGCAAAATCAACAGTACAATCCTCCAAGGAACAATTTGTAATGGAGGAAATAGTTCAGTAAATTATATGATTTTCCAACATCAAGGTTTTGCATCACTTTCAAAATCAAACATTTCTAACTGTATTTCATCACAATGTACAGGTTTTGATTATGTTGAATCAACAGTAAATGTTTCATTTTGTAATTTTGAGAATTTAAAAGTAACTGGATGGGTTATTACTTCGTTTTCTCATTGTCAAGGAAGAATTGACCGATGTAATTATATAAATAATTCTCAAGAGCAAAATTTTGTATTAGTTTTTGTTTCAGATAATAGACTTGATATTTTCGATTCATCTTTCCAAAACAATCGACAGAATAACAAAGGAGTTTTATTTGAATCAATGTGGGGTGGACAGATTTATATACATCAATGTAGTATTGATGATTTATCAACTAATGGAACAGTTGATGTATCAGATCAAGGAACAGAATCATTTAAAATTAGTTTTTACTACATTGATTTTAGTATATGTGCAAGAGATTTTGAATATGAAGTATTATTTGTACCAAAGAAAGAAAATAAAATTTGTTCTTCTTTTAAATCCATAAATTTTCTTTTTTGTAAGTATTTGATTTCTATCTTGTTATTTAATAAACAGAAGTAGTCCAACTTTTAGTAGTAATAATCAGTGACCAATATTTACAAATATATATTTAGTAAGTTCTAACTAGCTTATACAGTGGAGTTTGCTCTCGGAGACAACAATTATATGATCTCATATTATATTTCCTCCAAACATTCACAAAACAAAGAAAGGAAAGTAAATTAAACATGAATTACCAAAATTATCTTCAAAATAACAATAATACTTAATATAAAGATAGATTTGTAAATTCTGCTTCGTAATTGTAGCATTCTTTTATTAATTCTTGGGGAAAACCATGCGAGTTGATATCCAGATTAATCCCACTTTGTTTTCGTATCTCAAAATTATCAGCAGGTAGGACTTCCACTTGCATTTGCAATTTGAATAAATAATTTTAATTCAATTTTTTGGCACTTTTATTTACAATCGTGCCTTATTTTATTTGAAATTTGTAAACAACATATAATTTTAGGCTTCTTTTGATGTACGCTATTTGACACCTGATCGGAGGATTTGATCGTTCAAGACTAGTTAAGCCCATATCAGTAATGTATACTATATGCTATTATATATTTTCCTATTTAAAGTCTCTGAATTTGAAAAAAGTCGAGTTGGACTACTTCTTAATAAACGATAAAATTTTGATTTCACTTCTAGGGCTTATTTTCTTTCCCAAATATATATATCCAAGAAAACTGCATTGATATAGCAATTGACTTCTATTTACCTCATTATTGCACTTTCTTCGATAACTATAATATCAAAATTGTTACAAAAATAACAACAAAATATAAAAAAAAATTGCATGAGTATGCAATTATATTCTATTGCTAGTTAAAAAGATTAGTAAATAAATCAGGAAAACTTTAAGCCACTTGATGGTTTTAAAATCAATATTCATATGAACTGTTATTTTCCATTTTATAGTGTACACTTATACAAATAATTAATATTAAATAATTATTATATTACCCTACGTTCCCAACTTCTGGAAAACGGTTTTTCACCCTTATGATCAGTTTCAGACACTTTGGGAGTCTCCCAAACTTTGATATTTTGCATTATGATAGAGAAACGTGTCTAGTTTAACGCACAGTTGTTTTAAAGGCAAATGATGATATCACATGAAATTATCAAATTATCAAATTTTGAAGTACCAGTCCAAAGGGTTAATTAGATCCTACACAGATGTGCGATAGTGAAACATATGTGTTCTTGATTTGAGAAGTCCTACTGATAGAGGTATGAATCTCACAGCTTTGTGTGAGTGTGTCTGACACTTGTATAGAGTGGAATATGCGCCGACATATATTATATAATAACATGTAGTTGATAATTATGAAAAAATAGAATTCGATGCGAATGATATTGAAAGTTGTTTTGTAATTTGATATTTTTCTTATATGTGTTAATTAGTAAATGGCTTGTTTGTTGTGATCGTACTGTGAAAAATGAAAGGTATTTTAAATTAAAAAATTGAGATTTTGAGATATCTCTAGAATTAAGAATTTATTATGTATTTGACTTTTATATAACTATGTGTAAAGGATCTCGATGTCTATATGCTTTAAATAAAATTAAATAAAATGAGATAAAAAAGTAAAATGGACAAGAAGATATATGGAAATGTAATTTGTATTGTGTTGGTTGTTGGCAAAATGATTTTAATACAGATTTAAGGATTTGGAATGGATTTGAAATTAAATGATTTTAATTCAAGGAGTAATAAGATTTTGAACTGGTTTTTATTTTGTGAATGTAAACTCCTTCCATAGGATATGTATTAGAAAGATAAATTTTAAACTTTTTGAAAGAATTGTTTTTTTGTTGAGCGATTTTCTCATATTTAATAATATATTTAAGTTGGCGTATCTTACGCCCTTCCAAAAATATGTATTAGAAAGATAAATTTTAAACTTTTTGAAAGAATTGTTTTTTTGTTGAGCGATTTTCTCATATTTAATAATATATTTAAGTTGGCGTATCTTACACCCTTCCAAAAATATGTATTAGAAAGATGACTTATAATTTCATAAATTATTTTGTCCCGACGGTTTGAGCGGTTATCAGAATGGTTGCTTACACAATGCGTCAGCAAAATGTCGGTTGGGGTGCCCTTCTTGGCCTCCTGAGTACTCACCAAGATACCCCCAGCTCCCGCAAAACACCTCCCTTAGGTGCGCATTACCTGACGGCATTATTTTGCAATTATTTCAAATTTTTTAGATGTCTTTTGTTAAAGTTTGTTAACTAAAGACTTGAAAACAGCTTACCGCTTCAAGCTGCTCTCTTCCCGGTTCCTCTGCCGCAATCTTCTGTTTGATTGTGCGCAAAGCTCTCCTCCTTGTGAACTTTGCCTGACAGATACACCTGGGAGACAGCATTCGGACATCTTACCGCTTCAAGCTGCTCTCTTCCCGGTTCCTCTGCCGCAATCTTCTGTTGATTGTGCGCAAAGCTCTCCTCCTTGTGAACTTTGCCTGACAGATACACCTGGGAGACAGCATTCGGACATCTTACCGCTTCAAGCTGCTCTCTTCCCGGTTCCTCTGCCGCAATCTTCTGTTTGATTGTGCGCAAAGCTCTCCTCCTTGTGAACTTTGCCTGACAGATACACCTGGGAGACAGCATTCGGACGTCTTACCGCTTCAAGCTGCTCTCTTCCCGGTTCCTCTGCCGCAATCTTATGTCTGATTGTGCGCAAAGCTCTCCTCCTTGTGAACCATGGCTGATAGAAAGAACTGAAAGACAGGATAGGAGGAACATGCCGGTTCAAGTTAACTTGCAATATGCTTCTGATTAGTGATTTTAGATGAAAGATTAGCGAAATCGCATTTAATTTGGATAGAAGGATTCAATTTTATGAAGCAGGCTCGTAGGAAATATGCAGGAATAGCACAATCTCCTGCAATCAGAATGTGATTGCAAAACTTTGACTGACAAGAGTGTATTGTGCACTCTTGTCGGTCTGCATGTCTCATTCCGGGAGACATTGTCACTGCATGTCTCCCAGAATGAGACAATTTTCCGCATTCATAACTTGAATGCGGAAGTTTGACCGACAAGAGTGCACAATACACTCTTGTCGATCTAAATGTATCTTACAATCAAAGACACCTTCATACAATCTTTTCGAAGTTAAAAAAAAATTTAATTATTTCTTTCTTTTGTTTATTAAATCGCCTTACTCACGTACTAATCTCTTTTAGAGACTCTATCGAGCTATCCCCACATATAAACCTGTGACAATAATACATATTTACTCTCTTCATATTCTGATCTCATGACACATTATCGCAAAAACTATAATTATACAACACATCTCATAAAGTCTCATTTTAGCCCTATCTAAGCGTTCAAAACATATTTTCCACACGTAATCTGATTCTTCTGGCTCCGCTGATTCGATTTCTGCTGTCAGATCGTGAAAATATGCATCACATAAAGAGATAAATGCAAATTGCACAACTTAATATTTTCCTTAAAATTTCTCTTCAGGTTCATACCTAAATAAGCTCTTTTTTTGAAAATTCATTTTTTTCCAAAAATGTATGAATTCAAAAGTTCAGATTATATCTAGTCATTTTCCAACATTAATTTTGTGTTTTAGTTTTTGAGATATTCATTTTATTATACGTATTATTCAGAAAATTAAAAGAATTTGTGAGGGAAAACGGAGGAGATAATAAATATGTAAAGATGGATGAATAGACAATTTGAAAAAAAAAGCAATAATTTTGAGTT